ACAGGCTAAACTCCACCCCTTCACTCTTAATAGTCTCAAGTTGACAACAGATGATGTAAGTACCACGCCCACTGCACATCATCCTGTCCCCCATGGGAATCTGGCTCCAGATTCCTGACTTCCCGCAGGCCAGCAAGACCACCTCCTGTCTCCGTGCAACCTTAGCTGGAATGCCCCATGCCTAAGCCTGACCATGGACTCATCAGCTGGGCCCTTGGCTGGCTTGTGCAGCTTCACAGAGACCCACTCCCAGGCTACGCCCTGAGAGGCACCCTGGCCTAGGGCCCCTTCCCCAGAACCTTCCCAGGCCCAAGCTGCAGTATCCAGACTTTATCTGCTCAGCCAGCCCCTCCTGCAGCTGGTGCTAGCTGAGGGTAGTGCCAGCCCCTGCCCGGTGCTCTCCTGTTTCCAGGCGTCTCAGCATGCCCACCCCACCAGGTGCCGTGTTAGCACAGCAGCCTCTTCACATGCAGTGCCCTCCCCGAGCCCTGGGCTGCCCATCTCGCAGCTGACATTGCTACAGGCCCCGAGGGAGGGAAGAAAGTGGTCCCCCTGAGTGTCCGGGAGGAGCGAGGATGGAGCAGGCAGGGCAGGGAGCAGGGCCAAGGCTGCCCCGAGGAGGGGGCCGAGGCTGGAGCTGGGGTTGGCAGTGTGGTCAGCCAGCAGGCTAACTATATGCTCATGTGGCCAAAGCCACATTGTGGGTGAGGGGCTTGTGAGCCCCAGAGGGAGCAGCACCCATGACAAGGCAAGCTGGGTGGGGGCTATCAAGGAGGGCTTCAAAGAGGGTGGCATTTTGACCAGTGTGGAGAGATGAGCAGGATGTCGCCAGGCAGAGGAACCAGGCTGAGCAAAAGCTGGACCCTTCCAGAAGAAGTGTTTCTAGGAAGGGGAGGGAGGCCTGGGAGGGCGAAACTGGGTGGCCTCCAGCTAGAACCCACCCCCGGAGTGTCCTGCACCAGGACTAATGCATGATGGGGTTCAGAGAGGACATGGCAGAGGCCCCAGGGTGCACAGCAGGCAGGTGGTACCAGGCCCTTGCCCTGCCGCCTGCCTGAGCGGCTCCAGCTCCGTCCTGAAGGCTGCAGGGGGCCTTGGATGGTTCTATCAGCGGGAACTGCATGTGCACTTTGAAAACAGTTTTGCAGTTTTGAACAAGAGGAACTCCAGGACTGGTTAGTACTAAGACTCGGGGCCTGGTTCACCAGCAAGGGAATTGGGGGGGCCCGGTGAGGGGAAAAGGAAGGCCTCCCCTCAGGGTCTCAAAAATCGTTCCATCCATGTGATGGGGACCCCACTCTCCTCGCACGCCACCCACACCTGCCTGGGCTGGGGGCCCATCCATGGGCACAAGGAACCCCCACTGCACACACCCCCTGGGCCTCCTGCTGGTGGGGGCAGCTGCAGCCCTGGTCTGGGGCAGACTCGGGCCATAGCACCCAGCCCTCCCCCACGCTGATGTAGGGGCTGAGCCTGGGACCGGAGGTGGGCGAGCAGGAGTGGCTTTGTGGGGGTGTCAGACCAGGAAGTAGCTTCTGCCCCCTCCCTCTAATACATTTCCTCCCGATGAAGTCACACCCCGCAGCCCGGGGAACAGACCCCCATTGTGAGGGGCTGGGGTCTCGAGAGAAAGGCCGTCTTTCAGGCCCTCACAAGCAGCGGGCTGAGATTGACGTGTGCACCAAGAGCAGCCCCAGGCCGGGGCCAGGCCTGGCCACCCCGCCCCAGCCATGACCTGCTGGTGACCAGGCGGTGGGGAGGCTCCACGTGCACCCCCGCCTCCCCTGCTCCCAACTCTGACATGGTCAGAGTAGCCGGCATGGTCGCTACCCCTGGGGTTCCCTCGCTGACTCTCCAGAACCTCAGGGGAGCCAGGCCAGCCCATTGCACAGATGAAGAAACCGAGGCAGTCCTCGTAAGTCCCAGAAGCCCCAAGGCTGGGGTTCCACCCCTGGGACTCTGCAGGGTGGGCCGGCCCTGATGCAGAAGGGGCCGTGTGAGTTGGGTGGGCTCTGCTGTTAGCTCTGGTCAGACCCCCACCGCACCCCCCTCACCAGTCAAGGACAGAGCCCTGCCTGCCTCCACCCACCCACCCACCCCATCCTTGCCTGGGGCCTGGGGCAGGCTCCCCTCGCTCCTCCCAGCCTGGGAAAGAGCTGCCTGGCGGCTGGAGCACCAGACAGCCAAGGGGCTGGAGTGTGAGTGTGAAGGGATTTGGTGTGGGTTAAGGGATCCTTAGCCAGTCTGGAGGGGTGCAGCCTGGAGCAGGGGAGCTCTGGGGTGTCTGGGAGGACATTTCGCAGGGTATACCTGCGGATGAGACATTCCGGGTTGCGGACAAGGGGTTCCATGGATGGTCCTGTGCTCTGGGGCCCCTGGGGAGGGAGAGTCGGGTGCAGAGCAGTGTGTGTGGCACCTGCTGGGACCATGAGACCCACCGCCTCTACCTTACCAGGTGAGCGAGGGGAGGGGACATCCCCAGCTCTGTCCTGCCCCTGCCCCCCTGCCATTTGGAACTCAGAAGCTGTGCAGTCAGCCGCTGGTCAGGGCCCATCCCCTCCAGCCTCTGTCCCTACCCCCGGTCAGTGGGCCAGCCTTCTCCCGCTCCCCAGTAGCTGCGCTCTAACTCCTTCTCGGACCAAGAGTGGGTGATGTCACTTCCTGAGGGAGGGGGGAGGGGCAGGCAAGACCCTGCCGCTGGCTCCCGCCCACCAGGCTGGCCAGCAGCTCTCCGACAGGGCTGCAGAAATGGCCACACAGGGACAGGAGCCCCCTCAGCAGCAGACATGCTGCCCAGCCACCTCTAGGCCCCACACCCCTGCGTCCTCCCCAAGGGCATGCCCTCCTGCCCAGCAAGACTTGGCCACTTCCCTCCCTCCTGGGACACATGTCCTCCCCAGAGCCATCTCCAGGGAGCAAAGGAGCTGCCCCTACCCCAGGACCAGGTGTCATGTAAGCTTCTGACAGCCTTGGCTGGGTAGGGGAGTAGGGGTCCCTGGCAGGGGTCCCTGTCCCCACCCCCCCCACCCTGCAGCCCAGGAGCTCAGTGGGACCAGCCCCTGTGGAGAAGCCCAGCCCAGCGTCCTTCGTCCCTGGAGCTTGTGTGTCCATGTCCTAGCCAATCTATCTGCAGGCTACTGGCTCAGGTGGGCGTAGGAGGCACGGCTCCCTATCGCCCTCCCAGCAGTTGGGACCTAGGGTCCCCAACCCTTCTTCCTGGCCCCCTACTTTGACCAGGTTCTTCCCGCTCCGGGGCAGTGCAACGGCAGGGGGGCTTCTCCACGTAATGAGGGGGAGCAAGGGGGCCTTGACAAAACCAGACCGGGGGCCTCATGCTGTCAGTCTCTGCCGAGGGCGGGCCCACCACCTCCACAGCCCTACCTGCCTGGCGCCTGCTCTCCACGGGGCCTTCAACCTCCCACCTGCCCCAAGAGGACCGTGTGTATTAGCCAGGTCTTGTGCAGGGGCAAAGGGGGCCTAGAGGTTGGGGGCACCGACCCTGCAGAGGAGGCACTGTGAGCCTGAGGCTATAACGGGGACAGAAAGTTCCTGGGGTCACTTCAGCTGGAAGCTGGTCTCAGTGCCAGCTTTAAGGGCAGGAGACCCCAGGGTAAGGCAGATGGCCAGCGTTGGCCTGCCGAGGTCCATGGTGGTGGCTCTGGGGAGAGGAATGGGAGGGGTGCTGCCCAGAGATGGGTCATCATTTCCTAGGGCCTAGAAACCCCTGGGACCTGGTGGTGTCGTGGTTATGAGTTGGGCTGATAACCACAAGGTCAGCCGTTCCAAACCACCAGCCGCTCCCCAGGAGAAAGAGGAGGCAAGGAGTTACGGTCTCGGAAACCCACAGGGGCAGTGCTACCCTGTCCTGTAGGGTCACTGCCAGTCAGCATTGACTGGATGGCAGGGAGTTGGGTTTGAATCCTCCTAGGACTTGTGGTGCTGGTGGCCTTGGCCCTGGCGTGCGGCTGGCGGGCAGCTGCAGACCCCTCTGTCCCCTCTAGGAGGTGAGCCCCAGGCCCGCTGAGCCTCCGCCGAGCCGCCAGCCATGCCTGGGATCGTGGTGTTCCGGCGGCGCTGGTCTGTGGGCAGCGATGACCTCGTCCTGCCAGCCATCTTCCTCTTCCTCCTGCACACAACCTGGTAAGCCTGGGGGAGCAGGGAGGGGGGGCCTGAGTGCTGGTCCCTGCCCCCAGTCCCTGCCCCTAGTCTCCTCCCCCAGCAGTGGCAACCTAGGCAGGCTGGGGCTCCCGCCCTGGCCACCCAACCATCAGAGCTGGGGAGGGATCTGGTGGGGGGGCATGGCCAGCTTGTGCCTGCAGTATCACCGGGTGTCCCTGCAGGTTCGTGATCCTGTCTGTGGTGCTCTTCGGCCTGGTCTACAACCCGCACGAGGCCTGCTCGCTGAACCTGGTGGACCACGGCCGGGGCTATCTGGGCATCCTGCTGAGCTGCATGATCGCCGAGATGGCCATCATCTGGCTGAGCATGCGCGGCGGCATCCTCTACACGGAGCCGCGCGACTCCATGCAGTACGTGCTCTACGTGCGCCTGGGTAAGGGCCCCAGCGCGTGCGCCCCTACACCCCAAAACCTCGGGTACGGCCCGGCTTGCCGCTTGCCCACACGCAGCCCCACCCTGTCTTTATAAATAAAGTTTGGTTGCAATGTGCTCCTTCATTCCTGTATTGTCCGGGGTCCTGGCAGAGCTGGAGGCAGGACCACCTGTACAGAGAGAATCTCCTGGGGCCCAGGTGTGGCACATGTGCAGCTGAAGGGTGGGGAATGGGGGGGGGGCTTCAGCTGTCCCAAGATACTGTCCCGAACAAGCCCCCCCTTTCCCAGGAGGCCTGGGGGTCCGGCGTGGCTTCCAGGAGCCCCAGCCTTCCCTTTGCTGGGCTCCAGCCCCAGCTAGGCCTGAGCATGGCTGCTCCTGGTCACTGAGCAAACATCTGTGCTGCCCTCCCCTGGTCCCTGCCTAGTCTTCTCTCCAGGGAACGATGCTCTCGCTCAGTTGACAGCTACGTGGGGGGGTGGGGGGGGGAGCAGGGCCCAGAGAGGTTAGCCCATTCCCTCAGGTAACACAGCGAGGACCACTGGGTGGTTTGGAGCTGGAATGTGAACCCAGCACCTCGGCCTCTGGCACCGGGACCTGAGCTGCTATGGCTACCCAGAGGCTACAGCCAGTGACTTCTCACCTGGTACCCTGTCCACTTCCCCACTGCCTTGGCCCTGGCACAGTGAGCTGGCTCAGAGTGTGGACCTTGTAGCCAATCACAGCTCCTCCCCCTTCCCATCTCTCTCCTCCCCGTCCCCTCCCTCCTCCTCTCCAACCCTCCCCCTTTTCCTTCCCCTCCCCACTACTCCCTCAGGTTCCAGAGACCCCTCCCTAGGAAATCAATCCTAGCTCCCACGCTTCCACGACCACTCTCTCCTGCTCACACAGGCCTGCGACACCACCCCACCCCGCCCCCCTATTTTACAGATGAGACCACAAAGTCATACCAGACTGGCCCCGCTGGGTCCAAAGCCGAGTAGAATAAGGGTCACTCTCTGGGCCACCTTCCCAGGAGGCCGTGGGGCTGAGGGTGCGTAAGCCGGCTCAGGCACACATGGGCTGGTCCGCTAGCGTGTGGGACCCTCCACCAGACCCTGGAGCAAGCAGAGCCGCCTCGGGTGCCCCGCCCCCACCCCAGCATGCACGCGCCCTCCCAGCCACCCGTCTTTTGCAGCCATCCTGGTGATCGAGTTCATCTACGCCATCGTGGGCATCGTCTGGCTCACCCAGTACTACACCTCCTGCAATGACCTCACTGCCAAGAACGTCACCCTCGGTATGTCCGAGCTGCTCCGCCCAGCACCCAGCACCCGGAGGGACAGGGCCCCTCCTTCGCCCTGCAGCCTATGTCTGGCTCTGGAGCCCCTCCTCAGGGTGGGCAGCTCCAGGTGCCTCCCTGGACACCCACATCGCAGCCTTCCCTGGGCCGAGGGCAGCTAGGGGACGGCGTGTGGCCAGAGCTTAGGACCCTCAGCTCTGAGCCAGGGACTTGGGCTTCACCCAGGCACAAGCCAGGGCAGGGAGGCTTCCCGTTTAAGCACAACACCAGGGGCTGCTATTGAGGGAGCTTGAGGTAGGGAGGGTGTGGGGGTGCCCCCAACACCCTCGCCTCGCCCTCTCCCATGCTCCCCCGACAGGGATGGTCGTCTGCAACTGGGTGGTCATCCTCAGCGTCTGCATCACCGTCCTCTGCGTCTTCGACCCCACGGGCCGCACGTTCGTCAAGCTGAGAGCCACCAAGAGGAGGCAGCGCAACCTGCGGACATACAACCTCCGGTCAGTGGGCGGCGCGCCCCGCCTCCGTGTCCTGGTCACCCCAGCAGTGCTGAGAGCCCGTGCAGCGGACCCCACTCTGTGCTTTGCTCGCGGGAACTTACTGCAACTCCTGGAGCGGGCTGCGGCCACGCACCCCCAGAGAGGTTGGGTGCTTTGTCTGAGGCTGCACGGGCCAAGCCTCCAGTACAGACCACGCTGCTGCCGGCAAGGTGCAAGGTGGGGGTGGGTAACCACCAAACCCAAACCCTCGCCCACCGCAGTGGGACTGAGGAGAGCTCTCCCAGAGGGCTTCCGAGGCTCTCCCCTTCAGGGGAAGAGCCTGCCTCAGCTTTCGAACCGTCGACCTTTCCGTTAGCCACCGAGCAGTTAACCGCTGTACCACCAGGGTGCCTACAAGGGGGTTGGAAGAAGTTAATCAGGGAAGGCTTCCCAGAGAAGGTGGGCTTCCTTTCGCTCTGTGTTTTATAAAAGGAGCAACCTGAGAGCTGGCAGAGCACTTGGAGGCCCTCACCGGGGCCCAGCCAGCCCAGTGCACGTTGATGGTAACTTGTCAAATCGGGGACTCAAACCCATGCCCCATGCATGCCCATGCAAGGCAGGACCACCACGGGGTGAACTCCCGCTGCGCCATGACACACCGGGTCCCTTCCCCCCTTTTGCCAACCCAGAGCAATTGTGATGCAGACCAGAAATCCAAGTCCCGGAAAGGGCGAGTCACCTGCCCCAAGTCCGGTCCCGTGGGTGAGGAGTGGAGCTGGTCCTCCCTCCAGCCGGGGCTGGGCTGCTCTCCGCCCCCCCCTTCAGCCTGTGTGTCACTCACTACCCACTCAGACCTTCCACTCACTATCCACTCAGACCTTCCACGTCAGTGACTCCTGGATGCTGGGCCTGATTCAGCCACTCCCTGCCCCTGCAGCCAGGCCTCGCAGCCCCGCCACCGCCACCGCCCCCCTGTACGCCCTCTGCGTGCACGCCCCCATCTGACCTGGTTTATGGGCTCTGTGGGCCCTGGGTGGGTGAGTGGGGGAGGTTGGAGTAACAAAAAAATTTCCCTCTCTGTCTCTCGGTAATTACCTCTGGGGCCCAGGGCGGCCTGTGACACTGCAGTGGGGGGGGGGGGGGGGGGGTTGGGTAGGTAGTTTCTGGTGGTCTAATTAGAATACTTTCTAGGACAGCTTTTGGCCTGAGCCTGGAGACCGGGCTGGCCAGGCGTGGGGGTGCGGCTGGACTCCCTCTCAGGCCGTTCTCTGCTCTGAAGCCAACAAGGACATGTCCAGGCCAGCACCTTGCTGCTCTGGGGGTTCTCATGGAAGGGGGTGGGTGGGGGGCACGAGGGGGAGCAGGGTGGAGGCAGGCTGGAAGGTGGTTTTCATGTTGGGGAGTTTAGAAGTGGCAAGCCCCTGGTCCCTTCTCCTCCTCCTCCCAGTGAAATCAGAAGGGATGGTGGGTGGCTCCCATCACCACTCCCCCGGGAACTTTGACCTTAGGCGGCAGACGGGCCGGACATCTTGGCCTTTCTGTCCAGACTTGGCGAGTGTTCCCCTTTCTGGGTCCTGGTAGCCTAACTAATTCACGTGGTCCAAACCAACCATCTCCATCCATCCAGCTTCCACAAACTCCTAGAACCATCTGCCCCCTGGTGTGTAGCAGGGGTACTGCAGTACAGCAGGAAATGCCCCTTGAAGGGGTGAATGCCCTGTTAAGATTGAAGGGTCCAAGAACCCGGCTTAGCCAGGGGTCTGCCCCTTGGTCTTGACCATCAGCAAGTAGGTCACTGGTTTAGGATCTGTGAGGCTGCCCAGGTTCCCCAAGGGCTGGCAGCTCCCTGAAACCTCAATTCCCTGCGACTCTTGTTGAAATTAATGTAATTTGTGTTCAAAGCAAATTCATTTTTCATTCAACAGTTTATGCCTGTTCATTTCCCGGCAAGAGTTGCAACCCCTCTGGGTGACAGCATGCTTCCCACCTCCTCCCTTGGCTCCCCTTGTCCTCCAGCCTTCTCTCCTGTCCCTCCTGCCTGCCTGCCTCCCAAGTGTGGTTTTGGGGTACACGCTGCCCTCCTGGTCTCCCATGGTGGGTTGGACCCAGGAGGATGCTCCTCCCTGCTTTCCGGAAGAAAATTGATCCCTGGGGGTGTGGGTCCCCTTCCAAACTTTAGGGGTCACAGCCTCAGGGGTTCTAACCCATCTTTATCTCCCCTACCGCCCCCAAATCTGGTTGTTTTACCAATTTTGAATTTTGTTACACATTTTTGTTTCCTGCCCAGCTTTGTGCCCCCGTCCTGATCAGAGTGGTAGTCGGGCACCCTCTAATTCTTCTGATCTCAGGAAAGCGAGCCCCGGGGCTCTGGCCCAAGCCGTGCTGAGGCCCAGGGAGGCTCTGGCTTTCCCTCTCCCTTCCCCTGCTGTCTCAAGGAGTGAGAAGCCTGGGGGGGGGGGGGGGGCAGGCAGGCTGGCCTGAGCTGCAAAGAGGGGCCAAAGAGCTCAGGAAGGAAGTCTGCCTGTCCCTGCTGATGGACGCTAAGTGCCTGACTGCATTTGAAGGCCACCCTTGCCTGCCCCTGCTGACTACCCAACATCAGACTCCCCAGAAGCCAGCGAGAGGGCACGGCCCTGAGAACTTTTCAATTGGGTGTTTACATGCTTTGTTTATGCTCAGCACACAGACTTCTGAGCACCCGACATTGAGGGCGGGGGCGGGGAGGGGGGGGGGAAGGGGGAGGGCATGGAAGATCACTGGCCCACCCTTCTGCCTCTGGGTCAAGGGGCTCCAGCCTCCTGGGAAGCCTCTCCCCCCATCAGAGCAGCCAGACCCCTTGGGGCTGGGATGAGAATAGATGGGGGTCAGCCATGCAGCTGAGGGAGGAGGGCCTGTGTAAAAGTGTGCATTCACATCGGAAACTGCAGCACCTCACTGGGCCTGGAACCTTCTCATAGGTCCAAGGACACCAGTCTCTCAGATGGGAAGCAGGTCTGTCTGAGGCCTGGGGTGGCCCCCATCTGCAGGACGCCCCCACCCCCCTGCCCCCAGCAGTGTCCCTGTCGGCCGACAACCAGGTCACTGACTACCTGCCTGTGGCTGAGCCTGGGCCCCCTTCTCTCTCCAGCACCCCTATGTTTGGTGGGGCCCCAGGTACAGGCTGCCCCGTGCCCCCCCACATCCCACCAACTACCAACCCCCCATTTCCCCATTGCAGGCACCGCCTAGAGGAGGGCCAGGCCACCAGCTGGTCTCGCAGGCTCAAGGTGTTTCTCTGCTGCACACGGACCAAGGATTCCCAATCAGTAAGTCTCGGGTCACTCCCCTGGCGGAGCCCCTGGGTGCCGTGCGGGAGGTGTCGGAACATGAGGAGGGCTGATCAAGGTTGCAGGACAGCTGTCCACCTGCTCTGCCAAGGGGATGGCAGGTCTGAAGGCCTGGCCTCGAATCTGTATAGGAGCCCCAAACACTCAGAATTCAGGACAGGCCAGAGAGCAGGGAAAGCAGTGTCCACACGCACATGCGCGCCTGAGGGAGGGGGAAAGCAGGGTCCTTCATCCTTGAGGTGGAGGGCTGCAGGCCGGCATGGGAGGAGAGGGAGGGGTTCCTGGGGTCACCCAGCCCACCTCATTTTGCAGATCAGGCTGAGGTGGCCTGCCTGCTCAGCATCCCACAGCTAGTTAGTTAGTGGCAGAGCCAGTGGGCATGTACCCCTTCCCCCCAGTGGCAGACTCAGGAAGACCGGGAGCCTTACAGTGAGTAGCTAAGTGAGAGAGCACCCCCCCCCAAATGGGTGGAGGCACCCCACGCTCTCAGAGGGGTTATGGCCCCAGGCTGGGCCAGGCCTGCCAGGGAGAAGGCGTGGTGGAGCAGCCCCCTGGAAGGTGCAGGCTGGGTCGCCAGGTCTGCAGGGACACACTGAGGTACTAGGGCACAGGGCCAGGGTCAGTGTACAGGCCGGGCACACAGTCAGGAGTTCACATACAGGCTGGGCACCTGGGAACAAGGTCAGGGGTCAGTGTACAGGCAGAATGCTCTCCCCATACCCCCACCCCCACCCCCAGGTTCTGACCAGAGCCTGGGTTCTAGCAGAGTCCAGCACCGCGGTCAGCCAGAAGCTAAGTCCAGCCCTGGACACGTCTGGTTAGCTGGGTCATGCTTCTGACCACGTCCATCTTGTCTGGGGTCACAGGCCTGGGCTGGGTCCGGCCCTCCTGGACCCTGTGGGCATTTGAGGAGGCAGCACAAATTTCAGGCACTCGGGGTGAAGGCCAGCAAGGGAGCCTGCCACCCTGAACAGCTTCCCGCCACGGCCTCCTGGGAGGGTGCCCAGGGCGCCCGAGGCCGCACACGGCTGTCCTGGGAGAAGCCATAGGGCCAATGGCCCTGAGACCACACCCCTTCCCAGGCAACACCTTGTGGTCACTGAGTGGACTGCCATGAGGGTGGAGGGCACTCAGTGGTGTGGGGGTAGTGGGCAGCAGGCAGCTCAGTCAGGGCTCTCTTGGCATGTAAGAAAGCCAGGCCTTGACTCCTAGTGTCTGGGAGAAAGATGGGCTTTCTACTCCTATAGAGTGACAGGCTGGGGAACTCACAGGCCAGTTCTACCTGCCCTAGAGTCCCTCTGAGCCGGCATCGACTCAGAGCCAGATGACAATGAGTCTGGGCTTTTTTCCCAGCGGGCAGGAGGGATGGGATGCAGAGAGAACAAGAAATGGCTCGTGCCTGCTTCTGCGGGGAGTGGACAGTGACTCTCAGTGTGCCGTAGGGACTCAGATGAGAGAACAGACCACCCGCCCCCGGCGAAGCAGTCTGAGGGTCCCAAGTCCAGGACAGGCCTGTGGGGCACCTCGGGGGGATTTAACACCTGCTCTCTCCTTCTCCTGCTCCCCCATCGCCTGCCCACCCCCCCCCCCCCACCCCCTGCATTTCCCAGGATGCCTACTCAGAAATCGCCTACCTCTTTGCGGAGTTCTTCCGGGACCTGGACATTGTGCCCTCGGACATTATCGCCGGCCTGGTGCTGCTGCGGCAGAGGCAACGAGCCAAGCGCAATGCCGTGCTGGACGAGGTGGGTAGGGACGCTCCCACCGCCCTTCGCAGCTGCCCCTCCCGCCTGGGGGGGGGTCTCAGCCCCAGCCCCCGCCCCTGTCCCCCGGGACCGGGACAGTGGTGGCAGAGCCAGGAGCCACGTGAGCCCCAGGCCTCTAGGGCCTGGGGAGTGACCCCGCCCTCATTGGGGTGCCTTGCAGGCCAACAACGACATCCTGGCCTTCCTGTCGGGGATGCCGGTGACCAGGAACACCAAGTACCTTGACCTGAAGAACTCGGTGAGTGGGGGGACCCTGCAGGGGCGTCCCTGCCTCCACCCCCACGCACCCCGCCCCTGCCCCGCTCCTGGGGCTGCAGGCTGAGCTGCACTGGGGCTGCCAGGCTGCTGCCATGAGCAAAGGGCAGTGAGTGGGGGACCTTCCTTTCCGACTGGGACACCAGGGGAAGCCCCACCTCAGGTCCTGTGTGGCCGGCCAGGAGTGACTGGAACTGGCCCCTATGTGAGTCGGGCTGACCCTCCCCTCGAAGAACCACATTGGGGTGGGTGACTGTGAACCATACAGTTTGCTCCTGCCCCTGCGCCCATAAGGCCACCTCCACCTGCCTGCACCCCTTAGAGAGGGCCAGCTCCCCTCCCACCCCCAGCCGGCTGGCCTCGTCCACACCAGGAGGTAATTACCTTTTCCTGAAGAGCAGAGGAGGATCCCTTCCACCCTCCGGGCCCTGATTAAGGCGCTACCTCTTTCACTTCACAGATGACTAATCGCCCTCTTTAACTTTTACACGGTGACTAATTCCCTGTAAGTACAGGAGAGGCCTGCCATGCCCTGGGTCCCAGTGACCCCTCCCCTCCTCAGAGGGGGCAAGCTCCTGTAGCCACAGCCTCCTCCTGCCCCAGAGCCCTGACCCCACAAGTCAGCTGCATCCACCACCCCTGGGTCCCCAGAGCGAAGAGCTGGGACCCAATGAGCCACCTGCCCCGGGCCTCCAGCACCCAAGCCTTGCAGGGTTAAACACTCCCTCCCTGCAGCCCCCAGCCCAGCCCTGTGGTTCAGGTGGCCCTCAAGCCCCTGCAGGGCTAGTGACACTGATCTAGTGGCTCTCTCTCCTCCCAGGAAAGCAGGCCAGGAAATGGATCCAAAGGAGCCCCAGGACAGCTCCCGCCCCCACCCCCAGGAGGGTTCCTGCCCTGCTGGAGATAATTAGGGAAGGGCAATTATCACCTGGAGGAGCAGAGGGCCCCTCTCCATGGCAGGGCCACACCTGGGAGGGGCAGCATCCTGGTCCTTCCAGCCCCGGCCCCACCCCACCCCCACCCCGGGCCCCAAGCAGGGAGGGCAGCACATGGAAGCGCGCCCCCGCCCCCTCCTGTCTTCCAGCAAGAGATGCTCCGCTACAAGGAGGTCTGCTACTACATGCTCTTCGCCCTGGCCGCCTACGGCTGGCCCATGTACCTGATGCGGAAGCCGGCCTGCGGCCTCTGCCAGCTGGCCCGCTCCTGCTCGTGAGTACCTGCCTCCTGGGGGCCCGGAGGAGGCACCGGGCCTCGCCCCAGACTCCAAACCTGGGGACTGGCAGCCTTGGGCCAGTCAGCCCAGGACCACAGTTTCTCCGCCTGCTCCATGGGGCATTGTGGAGAGGACGCAGTGGGTCAGGGCCTGCCTCTCGGAGGCCCACCCGCAGTTGGAGGCCCTGCCCTCGTTCTCAGGGAGCCAAGGGCAGGTCAGACACACAGCTCCCGGGAGCGTCAGCCTCTGTCTGACTGGGCTTCTTGCCTCTGCACTGGGCCCACACAGGCCCAAGGAGGACGACTTCCCGGGCTCCTGACACCTGTCAGGGCTGGCAGCCACTTCCGTCCCCACTGCCGCTGCCCCTTCCCCAGCACTGGCACCGCAGCACGCAGCCACCTTCTGTCTGGGCCAGGGCTTCAAAGTAGGTCATTCCAGCCGCACTACTCCCCATCCCCCACCTCGGGGACTCTACCTTTCACACCACACCTGCACATCCCCCTTCAGGGCCCCAGGTGGCTCAAGGACACCCAGGCGTGCGCATCAGACCCCTTGAGAGTCCGGTTCTGTCCGTCTAGGCAGGAAAGGTCAATTCTCTGAGCGGGGGTTAGCCCAGTGCAGTGATTTCAAGCTCTAATTGGGAAAGGCTGGCCAGTGCTCTCAATCTTGCCCCCTACCCCCCCAGCCCCCACCCCTGCCTCCAGCAGCCGATCAGAGAAGACACCACATCCAGTCCGACTGCTGGGGGACCGGGGTCCTGAGGCCTGGGCTCTCACCACCTGCTTCATGGGCAGCCTCAGGGGTATCTGTCCTGCCTGCCCACCGGACTCCAGCTCCAGTGGGACACAGGCAGGCTAGGCTGCCCACCGGACTCAGGCCCCAGGCAGGCACAGAGAGGTGTTATGCAAACAGGGAGGGCGTGATCCCCGGTGCCTTGATGTTGGAGGAGGGTAGACACCCCTGAGACACCATGAGAGCCACATGGAACATACCTGGAACACCAGGTGTCATGGGATGGAGACAGGCCAGGGTGTCACTTGAGGCCAGGGGCCTTGCCAGCCTTCTCAGCACCCAGCCTGCCCTCTGTGGCCCTGGAGCCCGGGGACACCAGCCCCACCCACATCTTCCTAGGGTCTTCCCCCAGCCTACTGTCTTGGAGCCCCCCACCCTTCCTCCTGCCCAGCTTTCTTGGGGGCAGGAGAACACACAGCCTCTGACCCTGCCAGGGGTCCAACCCCGGCTCCAGCCACCTCACGGCAGAGCCTGCCCTCAGCTCCCGGGCGCCTAGACCGCAGATAGCCAGCCTTGAGCACCTGTGCCGGGCCATATGTGGACTGCTAACCTCAACGGCCGGCAGTTCAAACCCACCCGCCGCTGCTCCGGAAGTAGATGAGGCCATCTGCTCCCAGCGAGATTCTCAGCCTCAGAAACCCGTAAGGAGCAGTTCTACGGACCCTAGGGCTGCTGCCAGTGGAAGTTGAGTAGAGGGTGGTGGTGGGTCTGAATGGGGGTTTTGTGGTGTGCCAGGTCTGTTTAGCACCTTGGCACTTGATGCCACGTCTAAGCTGCCAGCGCTCACTCCAGGGCCTCGCAGCCGGGCCTCATGTCTCCTGGCCACGCTGAGCTGAGAATTGGAGCTCAGACCCCTGACTGGCAGGTGGGAGGGGTGGGGGGGGGCGGTGCTCACCGGAGGCACTCTCTACCCCACCAGACCCCAGGGGCTCGTGCACCTGAGGTTTCTCCAGTGGAAAATGTGTGACAGTCCAGCAGGTGAGGACAAATCTCAGCTTCCCTGACACCCAGCATCTCCATCCTTCTCATGGCACCACAGCTGGCCGCAAGGGCCTGGTGACGTCACCGCTGCCCCATCTAATGGGCGCTGGCTCCCTCTGGTGGCCAGAGGAACAGCTGCAGCCTTCACTGGTTCCTCGCTCAGCACTCTCCCCTGGGCTTTAGCTAACGAAGGGCAAGATCAGCAGTTTGAACCTGCCAGCCTCTCCCAAGGAGAAGGAGGTGGCTCCCTGCTCCCCCAAGGATGTAAAATCTCAGAAACCCAAAGAGGCAGTTCTGCCCTGCCCTGTCAGGTAACTAAGGGCAGAAGCGATGTAATGGCAGTGGGTTTGGGGGGGCGAGGCTGCCTGCCAGACTGCCCATTGGGCTGCTAACCACAAGGTCGGCGGTTCAAACCCACTCACGGCTCAGAGAGAGAGAGAGAGAGAGACCGGCAGCTCCCGTGCAACTGTGCGGGGTCACCGCCAGCATTCTGACACGATGGTGGGTGGGGTGTGTCTGGCAGTTGCTATAAATATGTATGAGGAGCCCATGTCCTGGAAGGACAGACAGGACAAACATGGAGATGGGTGCTGGGGAGATGGATGTCAATGTAAAGTTGGGTGTGCCCTGGGGACAGGGGCATCGGGGTTCGAGATGACATGGCCGGGCTAGGCCTCACTGTGATATGGTACCTGAACAAAGGCTGGGAGGAGGGAGGGGCAGCCAAGCCAATGTGGGGAGAGGGCGCTGTGGGTCCAGGGAGGTAGGGCAAGGCGGCCAGGGTGCTGGAGGGAGCAGGAGTTGGTGGTGACAGGCCGGTGGGGGCTAGGTGGGGAGGGCTGGCAGTGGGGAGGCCCCAGCTTTTACCAGAAGGGGATCCCTGGGCACAGGCACGGCGGGATTGGAGTGCAGACATGCCAAGCTCCGGCTGGGCTGCCAGGGGATCAGGCGTAGGCACAGGAGTGCCTCCAGGCCCTGAGCTGGAGGGAACAGGTCCTGAAGTGGGGGCAGAGCTGGCGTGCCACCATTGGGAATGGGCATGGCAGGGTGGCTCCAGGCATTGCAGTGTGCTGCTGGTGGGCCCGTGGGGCTCGAGGGGGTGGGAGGGAAGGTCAGGCGGGCAGTCATACCCTGAGCTGTGGGCCTGCAGAGGCTACAGTCCTGTCGGGCAGCCGAGGGGGCTGCCTGGTGGAGGTCAGGAGCAGTTTGTAGGGCCTCTGAGACCAGTGCGTGGGGATCACCAGGCTTTTCTTCCTAGGACCTATGGGTGGACGCACACTGCCTCTCTGTCAAAGGGTGGCCCCACCTAAGTGAAGTGGGGGGAAACACCCCAGGGAGTGAGGAACCCACCTGCCACCCTGCTGCCTGCGAGAGGGCCTGTGGGCCAGGGGCAGAGGATGGGTTAGGTGACCGCCGGGGGATGTAGCCAGGGTGGTCTGCAGGGGAGCTTGCTCACTCCTGTCCCCAGCCCTGAGCGCTGTGCCCCCACCCCATCCAGGTGCTGCCTGTGCCCTGCCAGGCCCCGGTTCGCCCCCGGCGTGACCATTGAGGAGGATAACTGCTGTGGCTGCAATGCCATCGCCATCCGTCGCCACTTCCTGGATGAGAATATGACCGCCGTGGACATCGTCTACACCTCCTGCCATGACGCGGTGAGGGGCCCCCACACCCCTTCCCCGGGCCAGCCTCAGCCCCAGGTGGGCAGGCAAGTGGGCAGGCTGCCTGCCAGCTAGGGAGTAGGGCTTGGAGGCGGAAGGGTCAGACCTCCCTCTGTCTCCCCACCACCCAGCCCACACAATCTCAGGGGTCAGGAGTGTCCCCCACCTAGCCGAGTGAAGGGCTGAGGACATAGTCAGGGTCAGTTGGCTAAGAGTGGGTTTCCTGGTACCCTGCTTTTGGAAGAATTGGGGAGGAGACATGTATCTTGCTAGGGGGTGCTGGGCTGTCGGGGGCATGGCCACAGGAGTCTGAGAGGAGTGGCCAGGCAGGGGCTGCTTCAGGAAGACCCAAGTGTCCAGGCTAGGAACCAACTGTTCTTGTCAGGGAGGGGCTTTGTAAGGTCTCTTCCTCAGAGCCCCTGTTCCTCCTCCCTGAGGGGCCGCTAGGCTCACAAGCCACCTGCCTCTCAGGTCTATGAGACCCCCTTCTACGTGGCAGTGGACCACGACAAGAAGAAGGTGGTGATCAGCATTCGGGGAACCCTGTCCCCCAAGGTATGCTGCACATAGACCTCCCCACCCACCTGCCCCAGAGCACCTCGGGCTCCCCTCACCCGCTACCTCTCACCCCTGCCCCCAGGACGCCCTGACGGACCTAACGGGTGATGCCGAGCGCCTCCCTGTGGAGGGGCATCATGGGACCTGGCTGGGCCACAAGGTAACCACGACAACCAAACGGGCCAACCCAGGGCTTCTGCCTCCCTCCCCTTCCCCTACCCACCATCATGAACTGGGCACCTACACCTGCCCAGAGCCCCTCCCTCCTTCCCCTCCCCCCCACCCATCAATATGAACTGGGCACCTACACCCCAGGGCCCCTGCTCACTGGGTTCACCATCCACAGGCCCCTCGCCCCCCACCCTACCTGCCCAGGCCCTGCCCCCAGAGGAGCCTGTGGGGGTGGCCCAGGGGGACTTTCATCTAGCCCTCGACACCCTCCCCATCTGTGCACCAAAGTCACGGGGGCCGGTGGCTGAGCCTGGGCCCCGTCAGCACCACGCTGTCCCCGCCCAGGGCATGGTCCTCTCGGCCGAGTACATCAAGAAGAAGCTGGAGCAGGAGATGGTGCTGTCTCAGGCCTTCGGGAGGGACCTGGTGAGGCCATTTTCCTGTCCGTCTGCCCCCTGTGCCCCCCTCCCCACCCCACCCCCAGGCAGCAGGCTCCCACCCTCTTCTCTGCTCCCCAACGGGGGCCCTCTCACCCTCCCCAGTGCGGCCCCGCATGGTCACCCTGCTCAGTCCTGTGCCCTGTTTCAGAGCCCCTGCCCCATGCCAGGCACGGGCAGCACCAGGAGGATTCAGGCCAGGGGCTCAAGCCCCGTCACTGCAGGGCGTGCAGTGTCCTGAGGCCGTGCGTGGATGGAACGTGGAAGACGCTATTCGGAGGGAAGTCAGTTAGTCACAAAGGACAAAGGTCGTACAAGACCAGCATTATAAACATATACATGTTCATTATGGAAAGGGTGTCCCACCTAAAGGAACAGACTGGTGGTTACCAGGGGCAGGGGGTGGGGGGCGGGAGTAGAAGGAGGGTAGAGGACAGACCGGGAGAGAAGACTGTGTAAGACAACAAGCTCAAAAACCAAACAACTGAGCTCCCTGCCGCCAATGGTTTTCCTGAATCACAGCGACCCCTAGGACCGGGCAGCACCGCCCAGTGGATACCAGAGGTTGTAAAATCTTGGAGTTGTTTGCTTGTTCCCTTCATGGGAGTTTTATAGCTACATTTATTACACATTCCTATGATTAAAGCTGATCATAAACATGATCTTTTTTTTAAATGAGAGCAGAAAGACCTGTCTGTCTCCCACAGAGCGGCGGGTGGGTCCAAACGCTTGACTTTGCAGTCCGCAGCCTAACAGACCTCCTGCATGGGGGAGATGGGAGAAAAACCCTGGGGAGGTGTGATAAGTCGTTGAATGCAAAAGTGATGGTCTGCTTGGTAGACCCTCACCTAATCCACCAAAGTTAACCAAACCAAACCAAACCAAACCAAACCAGGAGCTTGGCAACACGAGTAGCAAGCCCCTGTGTTGAGCCTTGTGCTTGTTTCAAGAGCTCCTGGTGGCTCTCACTCACTCTCACTGACCCGGACAGCACAGGGTCGAACTGGCCCCGTGAGCTTCCAAGACTGTGATTCTCTACGGGAGTAGAAAGCCGCATCTTTCTCCCTCGTAGCAGCCGAGGGGTTAGAACTGCCGACCTTGCAGTCCATAGCCCAGTGTGTCACCACTCACCAGGGCTCCCCTAGTGACCCTCTCTCTTTCTCACTGCTGTCCGCCGAGTGGAATCTGACTCATCGCGACCCCATAGCACAGGGTCGAACCGCCCCCTGTGGGTTTGCAAGACAGTAACTCTTTATGGCAGTAGAAAACTTCATCTTGCTCCCTGGGAGCAGCTGGTGGCTTCTAACTGCCGACCTTTCGGGTTGCAGCCCCATCGCATAACCACTACCTGAGAAGAACACAGGGGCTGGAGTGGGCAGAGCAGGGTGACACACTCAGTCACAGCAGTGCACGCGGCCCTAGGGCCGTCGGAGCCACAGGCCCTGCCCTGTGCAGCGGCAGCGGGGCCCTGTCTGGTTGCTGGGGTGCAAGGCCTGGCAGGTCCCCAGGCGTGCCTTGGCTAATCTCGTGTGACCATAGCCGTGGTATGAACGGCCCCTCCTGGGCCCAGGTCCATCACAGCAGAGAGGGCCTCTCCAGGGAGGAAGCCCGGAGCAAGGTTTTGAAGGACAAGTAGGAGTTTGTGAGTTCGGCTGCCCTGCGTGTGTCTAGCCTGGCTCATCCCCTGGCCCAGTAGCCGCCAGGCCCGTCTCCCAAGACGGATGGGCCCTCTGCCATCGGCCTGGCAGGTGGTGGGCTCAGGCTCCTCTCGTTCCCCAGGGTCGAGGGACCAAACACTACGGCCTGATTGTGGTGGGCCACTCCCTGGGCGCGGGGACCGCCGCCATCCTCTCCTTCCTCCTGCGCCCCCAGTACCCGACACTCAAGTGCTTTGCCTACTCCCCACCAGGGGGCCTGCTGAGGTGAGCCGTCAGGCTGGGGAGGGAGGCTCCGAGCCTGGCCACCTGGGTGGAAGGACATATGGAGGGGCCAGCAGACCCCTAGTCCCCCCCCACCCCCGCAAAGCCGCCATGGCTGGAAAGGCATGGCGGGGAGAGGGCAGCCCAGCCCTGGCCCCTGTGAGCTGCCCCAGAGCCCCCCACCACCACCTGGGGTGCAGAGTCCCATCTGCAGCTTGGGGCAGCGTGGCTCCCGCCCCGTCTCACCCTCGGCTTCCTTCCCGGACAGCGAGGATGCCATGGAATACTCCAAGGGGTTCGTGACCGCTGTCGTCCTGGGCAAGGACCTCGTCCCCAGGCAAGTCCCCCAGCCCTGAAGGCCTCTCCTGGGAAGTTCTCCTTTCTTGGGCCCTCACCCCAGCTCCCCTCTCCTCAGTGGCCCCCCTGCCGTGTGCCCAGCGCTCCTCCCATCCTCTGGCTGGGTACCTGCCTGTGACTGGGGCCCTGCCAGACAGGCTGATGCTGCCCCCACCCCCACCCCCCACCAGGATCGGCCTCTCCCAGCTGGAGGGCTTCCGCAGACAGCTCCTGGACGTCCTGCAGCGCAGCACCAAGCCCAAGGTGAGCCCGCACTTGTCCTCATCTGTCTTCACCTATCCGCCATCCAAGCCCCCACCCCAGACATTCCGGGATTTCTCATCCCTGTCCCCGGCTCCTCCCACCCCACTCCCACAGTGGCGAATCATCGTGGGGGCTACCAAGTGTATCCCCAAGTCGGAGCTGCCCGAGGAGGCAGAGGTGACCACCCTGGCCAGCACGCGGCTCTGGACACACCCGAGTGACCTGACCATCGCCCTGTCGGCCAGCACCCCACTCTACCCCCCTGGCCGCATCATCCACGTGGTCCACAACCACCCTGCCGAGCAGTGCTGGTGGGTGGGCCACGCACCCTTACCTCCCAACCCCCCGCGGGGATCTCTTCTGAAGCAGGGACGGGGTGGGGGTGCTCGCTCACAGGCTGCCATCTGAAATTCCTGCGGGGGTGGGGACGGAGGGTGGCCAGCAGTCCTTTAGTGGGGTGGCCCTGAACCCTTGCCCCCAAGGGTGTGGACAGCCCCCTGCCAGGCCAGCGGGGGTGGTGGGAGTGGGGATGAAACCTGGGACGAAGCTCTATAGGCAGCCCAGACGGCCCTCGAGGGGGTGGAGGTCGTGGGGGGGGACACAGCCCTGCTGGCCGGGGACATGGGGGCCCCAGAGCTGACCTCGGCCAGGCACCCTCAGCCCCTGCCTTTCCGACTCCGTGCCCCAGCTGCTGTGAGCAGGAGGAGCCCACGTACTTTGCCATCTGGGGTGACAACAAGGCCTTCAACGAGGTCATCATCTCGCCGGCCATGCTGCACGAACACCTGCCCTACGTGGTCATGGAGGGGCTCAACAAGGTCAGCCCCCCACCCCACCCCGTGCCCTGCTGGGGGAGTCCAGGGGGCTTTGGGGGACCCTGAGACCCACCCGAGGCACTTGGACCAGGACAAGGGTCTCCCGATGAGGCAGCCCGGCTGTGGGTGCTGGTGAAGAGGAAGGTGCCAGCTGAACACAGGGCGGGGCGGGGACCTGGGGACAAGCCCCACCCAGCTCCCTCCAGGGAGTCGGGGGGGAGTCCATCGGGCTCTGTTTGGCCTGGGCCACTGCCTCACAGCTGGGCGCCTTGCCCACCCCGCCTTCCTGTCCACAGGTCCTGGAGAACTACAATAAGGGCAAAACGGCCCTGCTGTCCGCGGCCAAGGTCATGGTGAGCCCCACGGAGGTGGACCTGACGCCCGAGCTCATCTTCCAGCAGCAGCCACTGCCCACAGGGCCGCCCCTGCCGGCTGGCCTGGCCCTGGACCTCCCACCCGCAGACCGGCGCAACAGCAGTGTCCGGTGTGTGAGCAGCCCCAGGGGGCCTGGCCAGGGGCTGCTGAAGAGGCAGCAGGGGAGGGAACAGTGAGCGCCACTTCAGGGTGCATCCTGAGACCTCAGGGGGACCGCAAAGAGAGGCACCGCCCCTTCCCCCGCCCCCTCATAGCCGCTGTCCCAGGGCCCTGCTCCCCACCACCCCACTGCCTGCACTCCTAAGGGTGGCCAGAGGGGGAGCCAGTGCCCAGTCCACCCCTCCTGACCTCTTGTCCCTACACGTTGGACCCGGAGCCCAGGTGCCAGGCCACTCATCCCTGTGCCCTTGCTCAACTGCTCACCGGGGGCTGGAGGCGGGGGTCCACAGGAGGGAGAAAGTCCTTGGTGACCCCTCCACGGGAAACCCCAGGGAGCACAATTCTGTGGCTCACTCAGGGCCACTGCGTGGAGGGGCGGGAGGTGACAGCAGCCCCTCCACCCCACTTCCCATTCCCTGCAGCCAGCGAAGGGTGACAGCCCATGGGAGAGGGAGAGAGGCCCCAGAAAGAGGGAGGAAGTGACAGGGTCCCACCCTGGGGCTGGGAGGGGCTCCGGTGAGGGCAGCTCTGGGTGGCTGCTCCCCTCACCCCACTTTTGCCCCTTCCCCTCTCCCCCGGCCGTCTGTCTATCCATTGCCCCATGAGCGACCAGGGACAGAGCCACCAGTCTTGTCCCTTTTCTGGGCCTCAGTTTGGGGTCCCATGATGGGGGTACCAGTTTGGGTCCCCCAGCAGCAGCCCTGGAGCCCCAGAGTTCCCAGCCAGGCCTTAGGACCCCAGAACTTTATACTTTGCCATCTCCTGAGGCCTTTTAACCTAAGGCTGGCCCACCTCAGACCTCTTGATCCCCCAATTAGCT